ACAATATATACTTGTTACAAAACAACAGTTTTAAATAATTATTTAATTTAAATATAGTTATTATGTTGGTTAAGGTACAAATTTACACAAGTATAAGTTACAATGTATAAACAATAACGTGGTTTATTCTTTTTTGTGAGTTTATAATTTTTTTGTTTTAAATATTTTTAATTCAAGAGTTTACACCTATATGTGATTCAAACAATTAAAATGAAAACATACTATTGATTTTCCTGTTCAAAATCAAGGATCCTGTTTGCTACACCTTTTTATTGTTATTTAAACTGTATTGGTGTTGTTACTATTTGATTTTGTGTGTTATTAAAAATTTTAATTAAAAATTTTAATTAAAAAATTGATTAATTTTGATTGTTTGTAACATTAAACAATTATTTTGTTCATAAGGATTTTTATTGAAGTTTTTAACCCTTGGACACCGAGAATATTTATTTTTATATACAGTCATTATTCGATATAAGGGAATACCGGGTACCAATGTTATTCGATATAAGGGAAAAAATGAGGAATTATATAATTAACAAAAAATACCTCGGTTTGTTTTTTGTCACAAAAATATTTTTTTTGATTATTATTTTTTTTCTAACCAAAATAAACACGTTGCCTATATCTTGAAAACAATTGGCATTTATTTTTATCTTAAAGAAATAATAAATTTTATAATAAATCAAAAAACAAAGACAAATGTATGAACACAATTAACATAATAAATAAAACTTTTGTATCTATTTTTTGACTTAAAAACTTCAAAAAAATCTGTTAAATCATTAAGTTTTAATGCAATCTAAATGTGTTAAAACAAGAACATCATTGATGTTTCGAGACAAAATGAAAATTATTGAATTAATTGATCCTTATCAAAATTCACAAAAAGTAATCAAAGTTGTCGGACAACAACTGAAAATAGTAATTTCTCCAAAGCAAGTTTATCATTTGCGTTCAATTTCTAAAGAAACATTGATAATTTTTTATCCTCGTATAAACGAATAAGAAAATTACAGAACCTGGAACTTGAGGAAGCAATGATCAATTGGTTTCATGAAGTTCGTAAAGCGGGAATACCAATTGATTATTATATGTTGTCAAGGAAAGTATACTTTTTGAAAGAATGCAAATACATTCATTGTATTATTTCAAAATAAAATTATTTAAAATGCCGGGTAAAGGATCTAAAGTGAATACCACTGTAAACAATTATTTTGTTCATAATAATTTTTATTGAAGTTTTTTAACCATTTGACACAGAGCAAATATATTGACTGTATCTCATGTTAAAATGTTTTAGAGCAATAAGTTGATAATAAAAATTGTTGTAAACAAATATATACTCTTAAACTTGGTTTAATGTTTTATGGTTTTTGTTTAATGTATTGTGTTTAAATTCATAAGTTGCCTTATATTATATTTGGACTTTTCGAAATGAAAGTTTAGTCATTGACAGTGAAACTCTTTAAATCAACTAAATTTAAATTATTATAAATTTATATTCAATAAATAGTTCAACTTAATTCATGTGTTAATTTTGTTGTGTTTATAAAATACACGTGATTAATCTTGTTTGTTGTATTATAAAAATAATAAAATGTTAGTTAAATAACAAATTTACATTATTTTATTTTTATGTAATTATGAAGAAAAAGTTTCGGAAGAAAAATACGACCATATTATTAAGTCACACAATAAAATCAATCACAATGAATTGTTTTTTCTGTTTTAAAAAAAATGTCACACAAATAACTCAATTTTTACCATTATTTACCCTTAAAAAATAGCGGTTAATTATTTATATAACAAATTTATTAACATGTTTATATGTTTAAATCAATTAATAATAGATATATAATATTGTATATATAAATATAATTTACAGTTAAATAATGACTTTTAATAACATTGTTATTCTTTATTATTCATTGTAACTATTGTGTAAATTATTTGACATATTGTTGAAACAAAGAAAAATTATAATAACCAATTGTTATCAATTTTATTGTGAAACTATTTGGAGGTTTTCAATTAGCATTTAACATATTTTGTTGAGAATTACATCTAAGTGAGACATCAAATACAATTATTTTTTCTTAACTTTTGTTTTATTGTTTTTCAAAATACAAAAAACACAACAGTAAATATATGTATTTCTATAATACCACAAATATCACAATCAATTAAGATGGAGGCACCTATTTAATAATATTATTAATAATTTAATAACAACACTTGGTGTATTGGGTTTTACTGTTATTTGTTACACTTTTATTTGAAAAACAGCCTAAAATTAAAAAGTGGTTATTGTAAAATATGTAAACATGAAACATGAAACTAAAAATTCAAAATATAACATCAATATTAAGAGAATAACACAATTTAAAATATTTTTAGGTTCCGACTTGTGGCTCACATTAACATGCACATAATAAATTTAAATTGATTGTTTAAGGGAAATCAACACAACGTGATGATCTTTCTGTTTAATACAATACTTTAATAAGTATCATATTATTTTATTGGTATGTGTAAATAAATGATAACAACTAATAAAATGTTTTTTGAATTAGTGTTATATTATTTTATCATGAATCAACAATAAACATATTCTTAGTTTAGTTATACATATAAACACGTTTCAAGTATAAATGTATCATAATTTTATTCTTTAAATTAGATGATAGTGTTGTTATATATTATTGTTTATCTACATTTTATGTTGTTCAGACTTAAAAAACTGGAAACAATTGAGAACTTTTAAAAATCAAATTTAATAAATTAAATATGTATTTTTAAAATATTAATTGTGTATGTTTTAGTAATAAATTGAAATTGTTTAAAAAATTTAATTGATATTTCATTTATCACTTAATGTTATTTATGTTTATTGTTAAGAATATTTTTAAATGTGAGTATAATTACACTATTATTAATGTTATTAAAAAATGTGTATTGTCGTTTACATTTGTATTGATGTTGAATATATTTGTACACATCAGAATGTCAAGGAAAACACTGAAATAACAGACGTTTGTAAATATTGATATTATAGAAGACTTGATATACAACAAAAACAAAGAACAAACAACTAATTTAGTTGTGTTTTTGTTTGAAAGTTTATTAATTGGGTTTTTGATACAAATACAACGTTGTGGAAATCACACTTTTGATATTTGATAAGTTTGATATTTTATTATAATTTTTGTAATTATGTCTTGATTTAATATAATTATCTTTTAAAATATGTACAATGTTTTTATACAACGATGTACTTTGAGAATTTTTGATTTATAATTACTATTGTTTTAATGTTCGAATACATCTGAATATTTTTTTGATTTTACAAACATTGAAAAAAAAATTCGGCAAAATAAAATTTTGTTTACAAAAAAAACATATAATCTATTTATATAAGTTTTATTTTTGCCATCCATGGAAACTGGTTTGTCCAGTGGATAGAAAAAAAATAGATACATGTATCCAATTAATGGGTCTCATCCAGTCATATGTCTTAAAAAGCATATATTTGTGGGTTTTCAAAAATATAAAAATTATTATTTGTGGATTAATTATATAATTGTGTAGTATATTTTTTTTCACTATTTTATACATAAAAATGAAATATTTTAATGATATTAGAATATTTTAATTATAAAAACACTTATTTTTATTTAAATGTATCTAAATTCAAAATTTTAGAGCAAAATAATTATTTTTGGGTTTTACATTTGATTGGTCCATTGGCCCACAAATAGATGCTTTTTACTGTAAATGAATAGAGATAATATTGTTTATATCAATAATCACGGTACTGTTTATGTTTAATTGTATTTACAGTCAAAGGTGTCTATTTGTCGTAATTATAATTGTATTTACTTTAACTGTATGATACTTGTTATAATTAAAAATATTATCATTGTATGATGGTATGAATTGATCTGTTCACAATGCATCATTTTAATCATGACTTGGTATATATTTACTAATTTACACCATCTCCAATACAAGTTAATTTACTACCTCAAGGGTAAGTGGGGGTGGGCTGAAATACTCAATTATAAAAATATTTCGATTTTATCAATTTCAAAATTATCAATTAATTTTATCAATGTTTTTTAACCAAATAAGTAATAAGTAAATTATCTCATTTGCTTTGATGAACTATAGTGTTCGATAAAAAACAATTATCATTTATTGATATAACACTCGATGGTATTGTAATACTGCTTAAACTACTGCATTCATCAAAACAATAATCGCCAATAGATGTAACAATTGGTGAAATGTTAATACTGCTTAAACTTTTACATTTATAAAAACAATAATCGCCAATTGATCTCACACTTGATGGTATAATGACACTGCATATATTACTACATTCACCGAAACAATATTCACCAAGTGATGTAACACTTGGTGGAATTATGACACTGCTTAAACTGCTGCATTTATTAAAACAATTATAACCAATTGATATAACACCCAATGGTATTGTTAGACTTCTTAAATTACTACATTCATAAAAACAATAATTCCCAATTGATGTAACACTTGATGGTATTATAACACTGCTTAGATTACTACATCCATCGAAACACATATCATCAATGGAACTTACACCCGATGGTATGTTATTACCATATTTCTTTCTATTATATTGAGTGTAAGTAACATTTTGATATTTGATTTTTCGACTTTGAATTCTGTCGATTGTTTCAAAATCAACTTCAAACCACACAATAAGACATAACTTTTTCTTTGAAACAGCTTTATCTCCACATTTTTTCTTTTCTTTTGCGTTGATTAGAAATCCATCGAAAAAGCCTTCATCGTCTATATCCCACAAATGAAGTGTCTCAATGTTTGGAAAGTATTTAAATGTTTTTGAATTTAACGGAATTGGGTTGAAGTGAAACTTTTCCATATTACCACGGAACTTTTTGCATACCAATTCTAAATTGATGAAGTCGTTAATTGTCTTAAAGTACTTCGAGACTACCATGACGTGATCACCAGAAAGTCCATACATTTTAAAATCCACAGTTTTTCATTTTTTTAAATATTTCAAAATTCGTCTTTGTAAACAATTTCAAGGAATTATCAATAAACACTAAAAATTACATTGAACTTAATTCAAGTGTCTAAAAATCGGGAAATTTTGAGTTTATAACATACTTTACCTATATTTGAAGTTTATTATAAGTATTACAATACACAGCCCAAAAAAGGAATAACGCTAAATAATAAGAAATATTTTGATAAAACAAATCAATATAAATAACACCAAGTTTTTTGAGCCTTTAAAATCATTCACCATTTTAAGTTATAAGGAAATTTTTTAAAGAATACTATATTTATTTAATAATATAATTATTAAATATTAATAAATCATTTAAATAATTAAAATCATTTACGAAACAACACCACGAATGACATTCATTGTGGTTGTTTCGATAAAACTATTGTTAAATATCAAATATTTTATATAGTTAAGGAGTTATTTTTCGAAAATTATTATTGCTAGAATAAAAACTAGATATTTATATTTTTTATAAAATAATAAAAACATAATAAATAACAAAAAAATCAAGCCATTATACAAAAAAGTCCTTATAATTAAACGTGGTTGTAAAAATTACAAAAACAAATAAATAACTCGGTATAAAGAAAGTCACAAAGAAACAATGTTTACATTTGTCCTCGGTTGTGTTTATTGATATTTTATCGTAATAATGTCGCAATTTTTAACTTTCTCGTTTCTTTTAAATTTTAGTTTTTTTTGTTTTTTAATCTTTATAAATACAGATAAATTGATTTATTAATTAATTACTAATATTGATATAAAATATCAAGTTTTAACTTCCTAAGGTTAATTTATGACAATCGAACAATAACACGTTAAATATCAGAGTCACTAAAATTTTAGCACATTTTGGTTCCGAAACACAAAAATCTAATAGTGCAAATGATGTAAAAAGGCAACTGATAGCAAATTGAAGAAAGTTCAGTTCACATATGACAAATAACACGATTTAAAAATAGCACAGAAAAAACGACTTGACAGTCCAAGTTGATCAATAAAATATTGAGAAGAAGAACGATACGATTTTGATTTAGATAGCTGAACAATTAAAGGTTAATACTATGACTTGACAAAGATCAAACTTGACAAAAAATATATGAAACTGAATTGGAGGCACGTGTATAAGCTACTACGACTTACAAACAGACAAAAAATTAGCATGAAAAAAAGATGAGTGTGTTGTTGATAATCCATTTGTTTTTTTATCATTAATTAACCCAAGCAACTAAGGAAAGCTTAAATTAATGATCACTTTTCTTTTCATAGGCATTTTGAGTATTTTTTTACCATTATCAAATGCATAAATTTATTTTAATCATTTTTGAATTTTTATTTTTAAAATAAAGTATTTTTAGTTTTTTATTATATTTAAAAAAGCAAAAAAACAAATAATAACAATTATTATAAATTTTTCAAAAAATAGTTTATAAAATAATAAAAAATAATTATTTTTCACGGCGGATTTTGCCAAGTTCACAAGCTTTTGTGATGGTATTACCTCTACACAAATCACATACATTTTCAAAGTGGTATTTACAGACATGTAAACCACATACACAACATCGATACTTGAAACAACACTTTGATACTCTATCTTCACCTGATTTAAATTAAATATGGCACCTTCCACTTCCTTTAGGGACAAGAGGACTTGTCTCTAATAATGTATTCGTTTCTTCAAAATTTACACCCAAATAACGAGCAATTTTTATTTTTGTTTCGTATGGAAGATTTTGTGACAGTCTTGATATAGCATTCTGTTTTCCAAGCTGAAGTGATAGTTGCTCATAAAAATTGATTCTTGGGTTTTTGGCAATTTTTGATTCAAAATATACACAAAATTTTTCTTCTGATGTCATTTTTTGTTGTTTTGATGTGGATGGTTTTGATATTTCACTTGATTCTAAATTACATCGATTTAAAATCGTGGAACTTCCGGTCTCATTTACAACGACGGTATCTCCTTTTTCTTCGAAATCATCAACAAAGTCTGATGGCTTATAATCAACTTTGGACCAAATATATAATAAATAGGCGTTGTGAATGGCGATGTCTAGAATATGATAAAAAAGAGCTGATGACCAGCGTCGAGATGCTCTCTTAGTTGAATATGCTTTCATCAGTCGATCAGCGACATCAACGCCTCCCATAAATTTATTGTATATTATGTTGACGTTGAAACGTTTGGGTTCGTTGTGGTAAATAATATTTAATTTGCGACAGGCTAGAATTAACACACTGCGATTCTTGTCTTTGATATTTACCATAACAATTTCGGCATTTGGAACAGTCTTTAATAGTTTAAATTGTCTGTAATCGTCAGTCGACTTCTTGTTTATTACAAGAGTACTTGGTACAAATTTCCTTTTAGAATTGACAGTACCAGTCAAAGTAACAAAATGTTCTATTAAAATTTCAGCAGTTGATACAGAAGTGAAGAACCTATTAGTGGTCAAATTAACCAAATTATTTTTATTGCCCAATTGTTCTTTGCTAAGCTCTTTCATCAATTGAACGACAACTTTAGACCCAAGATTATTAACATGCTTGCCATTAAAAGCCCCTCTGTAGACTTGCAAATTCATTATAAAACCACATACAGAATCATCCAACAAGAAGAATTTGATTCCATATTTTGAAGGTTTATTCTTCATATTAGTAACATTCACCCACCGACCAAAAAACGATACAAATCTTCATCAATGCTCAACTCAGATAAGTTTCTAAATATAGTTTTTTGAACTTCGATTAATTTTGAATGAAATAAAGAAAGAAGTTGATTGATAAAATTGAAATTGTCCCAGTTGAGTTCGTCATCTGGGTAAAGTGAGTTTCTTTGGTCTTCAAAATTAAGACCATTTTGATATTGATTATCGTTTATTTGTTTTAAGGTGTTCAAACTCTGAGAAGTGTATTTAGTGATAGGAATTGTATTATTTAAATTGTGAACATCTATTATATTGGCTTGGCTTGGTTTTTGTGTTTGATGGAAGCCATTTGTGTTGTCTTGTTGTGTTATTTTATTTATATTCATATTTTTTTACACTAAATTGTTACTGTTGCATAGTGGTACGAAGTGAAATCCATCAATCGAACTAATATCACTCGAATTACCAATGAATTGAGAATGTGGTTGTGTAAGAATATTCTGTTGCGTTGGGACAATTATTTGATGGTTTATATCTTGTGTATCTTGGATAATATGAGTAAAAACACTACTTTTTGGTTGGGTTTCATCCATTTTTCCAACAATTTGGTCGAATGTTGGAATTGGACGGTGGTCATCAGAAATTAATGGCGTCGTTCTTTTTCTGGATACTTCAATTACTTGATCAAGTGGGTCATAAGTATCATCATTTACACAGTGAATTTGGTCTTCCTCAATTTCTTCATAATGGACTTCTTCCAAATGTATTTGATTAACTCGGCTTGCCGCCTCTGTGTCGAAACGTAATGCCCACTTTATTTCAGAATACCTTTCAACGCTGATGGGTCCAGTGTACATTGGCTTTGAAGCGAGTCCTTTCCACAAAGAAGAAAGTGGACGCTTTGTGTCTTGATAGTTGGCTTGTGAAATTGATACCGAAAGGAATGCATCCAATTCTATTTCTGTGATTTCTTTGAAAACTTGTTTGCCTTTCTTGTTTTTGATGGCGACTTTCCCATAGTTATTCGATTGAAGGATAACAAAATCTTTCAACTCTTTAGTAAAAAATAAACTAAATATTTCATAAGGCGTTGTTTCGTCGGTTATTCCATGGACTTCTGGATATCTATCCACTTTGAAGCTGAACTTTTGATCAGTTTTTTCGTTTTAATTTGTTCCCAGACACTTGTACCATCATTCGCAGTTACTGTATTCACTGTAGATAATACAGACATTGGTTTATTATTCGAGTTTTTTAGATAGTTTGTGCTATAAAAACAAATTTATCAACAATTATCAACAAAATGATAAAAAACTAAAAATTTAGCTTTGGGATAAATGAAATTCGAATTAGTCACATTTTGAAAACAAAGAAATATTTGTTTTTCCAAAGTCTTCGATTTTTTAATTGATATTTTTTTATTTTTTAGTTTCTTTTTTTTAATAGCTCATAAAAATGAGCCACAGCTTTTTTGCCGATAAATTTGTGTTTGCTTGGCCGGTTAAATGTTATCAGCAACTTCATTTATTTTAGTTAAAGTCAATGTATTATTCAATACTATCATACAATTGATCAACCTCAATGTTTGTTTTTGTTGCAAATGATAGTTTTTACCATTTTTCTTTTTTAACATTTTCAGTTTTTTCACACCACAAGCATTGATTGAGATGTTTTTTGTATATCTTTTTGAACTTTGCAATAAAGGGGTTGACTATTGTGTTGTCAGAGTCTTCTTTAAAGTTAGTTGCAATAAGTCGCCTTCAACTCGAACACTTCGTTGTTAATAATTGATGACTACACATCAAAAGTTACACATCCGAGATCAATAATCAACACATTCTTTCTTTTTCTTGTCCAATAAATATAAAACAATTGCTGCTGTTAATTCTTTGACTATTCAAATCACATTAATCCTTACTATTGTGTTGCATTTGGTAAATCAAAAAACAGCGTTCACAAAACAGTGTTTACAATTTAGCGTTGAAAATTCAATTGTTCTTTCATACTAATTTAGCGTTCATATTTTAGCGTTAACAATTTAGTGTTTATAAAATAGCGTTGAATTATATATATATAATGTTATATACAAACAAATTATAAACAAACATAAAATAATTTGTAATATAAGATGATTTGTTTGTTGTTATAAACAGTAACCAATTTAATAAAATCTATACATTTTAAATTAAAAAACAAGTACGCAATTAATTATCTTTTTTCTTCTTTTAAGTCATTTTTCTTAGTTTTCCAATTATTGTAGTTTTTCTTTTTTTCTTACTTGATAACTCACTTTTACTATCATCCATGTTAGTCACGGAACTGTTTATCAACGAAGAACTTTCTATTGTTTGACATTCCTTATTAAAATGAACTGTAGATGATTCCATTGTTTGAATGAAAGGGATTCCTGAAATGTTATCAAGTTCACTTACGATATTTTCGATGTCTTTACTATTTAATTTAACAGTTATTCTTTTTCTTGGTTTTTGAGAATTGTGTGTTATTTTTTGGATTTCTTGAATGCGTTTTTTAATTTTCATTTTTGTTAATATTTTCATTTTATTAAATTGTTTTTCTTTTGAACATTCTGTAATTTCAATGTTGGAATGATTGAATATTCCCATTTTGAAATCGGGTTCATCAACTACATCTGATATTAATGAATCAATTTCTTCGACATCACGTATTGAGGTTTCATTGAGAACGTTTTGTACATCGTCGATTACATCAACTTTCTGGTTAACCATATCTTTTTTTAACGAAATAATGATTTTTAAAGGAATTGTTGCCACTTTTTCTAAAAATAATAATTTATTATTTCCAAACAAATTCATTCTTTTGGTGAGCAATTCTGATAATTCTTCGTTGTATTTATTATAGTAATTATTGGTTTGTTTTTTAAGTTTTCCATTAATAAATGAATTAAAGTCAACTTCAACTTTTCTTTCAACTTCTTTAAGTTTTTCAACTAAAACAAATGCGTTTGGGTGTGTTCTGTAAAATTTTCGAGAAAATGAAGAATGAAATGATTCACTCCAATTGTTCGTTTTCATCAACAAATCCAAACTTTGGTTCCATTCGGGTGGGGGATAACGTACAATCCACACTTTGTTAAAATAAGTCATCAATAATTTCAATTTGTCTTTATTTACTTCTGAAGTGTCAATTGTATCGATGGTTTCAAATAGTTCTTGAACAGTTTCGACAATTTCTTGTGGCCTAAGAAATGGTAAAGCGAAAAGAGATCTTATAAACGTGTTGACTTTTGTTTCTATTGTGTAAATTTTGGAAAGTCCCAACTTACTGACCTTTTTAAAAATGGCCTGTTTAAAGTGGAACCAACAGCCAAGCAAGGTAACTTCTTTATAAACCATAATTATTGCATTTCTACAAGACAACTCAAAATCTGACATAAACTTTGTTATTATCACTCCTTGTTTTACTTTTAAATTTGTAAAAAGTGATGTATATGCACATTCTGTTCTTTTTTCCATTAAAACAAAACAAGACGGAAAAACAAATCCATCAATAATAGAATGGAGTGTGTATAATTGTGAAAACATTAAAGGTACACATTGAAAAGTTCCATCTCCCAAAACGGCCTGGTTGTTTTTTAGAATTTCAAGTTGAAGTAAAGAAAAAACATAAACATTGTACGGTCATCACCATTTTCATCTTTGTATATTATTTTGTCTTGAACAAATTGTGATCCAGAAACAGTTTTGGAATATATCCCTTGAAAAGTCAATTCTTTGATGCTTTTTGGTAATGTACCGTACATTTTCCTTTTAATTAAATCTATTTGTTGCTTTATATATTGAATTGTTGGAGTGTAATTATCAATTTTAAAAGATGGTGCGCAAATAATAGATGAAACCATTTGATCGGGAGACATTGAAGGAGAAGAAGAAATTAAAGAAATCACGACTGTTTTAACTTCGAACTTTTTCCACGTGTAAATATCATTTTGGTGTAATTGGTCTTCAGAATGAGTGTAAATAAGTTTTCCTTGTTTGTTATCCAATAATACAAAACGACATTTACATCCATTCGAAGCATGAATACATTCAAAAATTGAAAAGACGTCGGGGTGTAACATTTTGTAATTTAAAACTGCTTTATCGTTCAATTCTTTAAATTTGTGATTTTCATAATAAATGGAGGGATGTCTCTTTTTTGAACTGGAATTTCGACAACAAAATTGGACCTCTTGACATTTTGTTCCATAGAATTACAAATAATGAGTATTTAGGGTTTAAATCATAAGTTCAAAATATATTGTAATTTTTTATAAATTTGTAATATAAAATTTTACTTAACTGTTTATTAAATAATATTATATTTAAACTGGTTAAATATTAATTAAAAACATTTAATCAATAAAAGTATAAATATGTTACTTAAATTAATTACCAAATATTATAACCATATTACTATCATCATCGTATTTGTGATTATATTTTATTATTATATTACTTTATACAATCAAAATTTTATTAATTGTTTGTATATAACATTATATATATATATATATATATATATATATATATATATATATATATATATATATATATATATATATATATATAATTCAACGCTATTTTATAAACACTAAATTGTTAACGCTAAAATATGAACGCTAAATTAGTATGAAAGAACAATTGAATTTTCAACGCTAAATTGTAAACACTGTTTTGTGAACGCTGTTTTTTGATGAATCGTTGCATTTTTTGTTGATTGTAGTGTGGGTTGTTGAAGTAAGCAAAACGCATGATTGCTTTTTTAACTTTTTTGCAACAATTGATATGGTTGTCTTTTTGGTATTTGTCAACACCAATGATGAGATTTTTTAAAGTAATTTGAAAGTTTTTTATTTATCTTTCATTGGTGACTTGTTGTATTATTTATTTTTAAGAAATAACAATATTTTTTTGAAATTGAAATATTAATTCAATTCAATCGGTTATATATTACTAAGGTTAAATATAAAAACAAATGTTCAAAATAATAAATAACTTTTCTATTAGACGATTTTATTTAAGATATAACGATTTATTATTAAAAAAAATGAAATATTTTTTTTATAATCTTTAATGTTTTGTTTAGAATGTAAGTTCGAATATTTTTATAAACAACCACAATCAAACAATAAAAAACATTAATATGATTATAACTATAAAAATGATGACTAAATATTTTGGAAATGTGTCAAAACTAGATATATTAACGTATTTTGTTATTATTTTTTCACAAAAAGTAGTAAATATTTAAATAACATAAGAACTGTAAAATATAAAATGTCTACACTTGGCAGCTATCATGCTATGATCGTTTCGAAATACTTTAAAACAATTAACGACTTCATCAATTTAGAATTGGTATGCAAAAAGTTCCGTGGTAATACGGACAAATTCCACTTCAACCCAATAACGTTGAATTCAAAAACACTTGGATACTTCCCAAACATTGAGACACTTCATTTGTGGGATATAGACGATGAAGGCTTTTTCGATGGATTTCTGATTATATTCAATAAAAACCATGTAAACAATGAATGTATGAAGATGTTAACAAAAACAGAGTATATGTGCCTAAGCGGATGTTTTATCAAATTATAGTATGGTTTGATGTTGATTATGTTACTATTAATGATGAAAACATAAGTCAAAACATCAAGTTTAAAAATATTATATACACCAAAAACAACAGAAAACAATTTGGTCATAACTAACCATTGAATGTGACAACAATTGGTTTTAAATGTTTTAATCAATGCCACAGTTTGACCAGTTTGATAATACCATCAAATGTGAGATCAATTGGAGATTGTTGTTTTTATAATTGTTACGATTTAAGTAGTATCACAATACCATCGAGTGTGACATCTATCGGCAATAAATGTTTTAGTAATTGCTGTAATCTGAGGAATTTAAAAATACCACCAAGTGTTACATCAATAAGCAATTATTGTTTTTATGAATGCTTGAATTTAAGTAAAGTTACAATACCATCGAGTGTTATATCAATTGGTTGTAATTGTTTTTATAAATGCAGCAGTTTAACAAGTGTTAAAATACCATCAAGTGTCATCTCAATTGGCGATGATTGTTTCTTTATGTGCTTTAATCTAGATAATGTTATAATACCATCAAGTGTGACTTCAATTGGTATAGGTTGTTTCTTTGCATGCTATAATTTACAAAGTATTACAATACCATCTAAAGTGATAAATATCAACAAAGATATATATATATTGGATATAAATATCAGAATAATATCACATTTAATGATTAAGATAAATTATAATCAAACCAAGTTATTCATCGAAAACGAGTTAGATAATTAAATTATTTACTTATTTGTTAATTATATTTTTACATTTAATAATATATTATAAAATATATCAAACTCGATTAATTTATAATGTATAATTAAATAATATTAAAATAATATATAACCACAATCTAACTTTTCAAAATTAAATACAATATTAATTTTGGTTTTTTAGACTGGAATAACATTATTATTAAACCAATAATATCTGTTTATTATAAATCGGTATTATTTATTTGATAAACTAAAACAATTTTGCTCCCGAGAGAACCCGCTTTTTAAACGTGCCACTTCTGGGTGTTTGAAGTAAATCATTAAGAATATAAACTGTTGTTTACTTATTAATTATTACATTAAATACATTCATGTATCTATATGTATATTTAATTTTATATTAAAATTACATTTAAGTTTGCAAATCTTGTAATTATCAGTACTACTACAATGCTTTATGTTTGATACATAAATTCAATTTTTAATTTTTAAACAATATAATAAAGTCAGTCCATAAACTATATTTATAATATTAACTTGTTTTATTTATTTGTAATATAGTTTTTTATAAATTATTGTTTATAAATAAATCTTTGTTATTCTATCAAAATAAACTCGGGCAGTTTGATCAATTTATTCTATTATACAAATACATTGTGTGTAACAATATAAAAAAGAAAGCTGTTGTTACAAACAATGGTTGGGTGAACATTTTTATCATATAAAGTTATATTCAAATAAGAAATTTGAAAACATACATCTTGATTTTTAAGTGATGAAATTGGTAACAACGAAATAAAACATAAAGAAAAGTACAACATGATTGACAGACTCAAACATTGAATCTATGTTCTGTCATCGAGTAAATGTTGGTCAAATAAAATGGCTTTAGTTGAGTGAACGTCATTTTACTTTATAAACGAGTGTATTAAAAACGTTGAATAGTACAAATGTCCAAAACCAAAAAATGATTTTATCAACTCAGATTGTTTGTACAAGTTTCTTGATATCATATTTTTATTAATCACCAAATCAACTGTATTTATCATTTTTAATTGTTTTAAAATAATTAATTAAATTGTCTAAACCCAATTTATGTTATTGGTTGTGTTATAAATTATTTTGGTTTAAATAATAATTACAATATCCTTTTAAATTTATTATTTCCATTAAGTTAATAACATATTCATTCAAAAATCAGAGGTTTCCAAAATCACAATGCTAATTACCCACGTCACCATTTCATAACCAAAATGTACATATTCTCTTAAAAATTCGTACGTTATAATACCACATTTTCGGCAATAATTATTTTGGAAACGCTTGTCAAAAATTACATTTTAAAATAAATATCATTTTTTAATAATAATAAAATACAAAAACCATTTTCTTTTTGATAATATAATTTACAACAGAGCAATTTATAATGTTTATAAATACAAACATATTAAAAACAACATGTAAAATTTACACACAATTTTATTTAACTAAACTACGACACGTGTTTTGTTATATTTGTCATCAACTTGTTTTTGTTCGTATTTTGTTCTTACAATATCACTGACCTATTCCATAAAAACTTTGTTTATATTTATTTTATTTTTTGCAGATGTTTCATAAAAAGAGACACGCCACTCTTCAGCAAGTTTTTCGCCTTCTTCAACAGACACACTTCTTACACTTTTTAAATCACTTTTATTACCACACAAAACGATTGGAATGTGTCCATTATTTGATTTAAGTAGTGTTGTGTAGATTTTTTCTGTAATAATCAAGTTCGTCAAATGAAACCCTATCTGTGATTGAATAGACAACTAAAAACCATCAACGTTACGTGTGTAAACGTCACGAATTGTAGAATATTCTTTCGATCTGGCTGTGTCTAATATATACAAATCATAGGATTTGCCATCAACTTTCATTGTGACAAAATAGCTGTCTTCTATGGTTGGGTCGTAAGACTGAACAAAAAAATCGGACACCAACCGGAAGGTAATAGAGGACTTTCCGACAGAGCCAAATCCAAAAACAGCAATTGTGGTCTTCTTTGTTGCTTTTTTTAACATCAATTAATTGAATTTGATTGGTTTGTGTTTTTTAAACTCCACTCCTTTGATCTTTTTTAAAACTTGATTTAATTAATACATTTAATTGTTATTTTATTAATTAAACTATATTTATAGAAAAACCACGTTGAGTCAAAACCAATTACAGATGCAAAAAAGTAGTTGTCAAAAGGATAAAAAAGTATTTTTATATATTTATTTTTAATAATTATAAATTTGTTTAACAAGTAAATTTACTTGAAAGCCGTGGTAGTTTGGATTGATTTTTCAGAAAGTGGTTGTCAAAAGGATGAAAAATTTAAAAAATACTATTTTTATACAAAAACAGAAAAACCACAAAAAAATTTACTCATTTTCAAAATTAAAATTGACTGTACCTTGTCCTCACGGTATAAAATGAACTGATGTTGGGGATGTGCAATTTATTATGAATAAATTGGGGATGTGTAAATTTAACAAGCAATAATCATATCAAGTTTGTATATTAATAACGTTGAAAATGAATAATTAATCATAAGGCATTCATTGATAAACAACGTGTAATATGACGTTATATTACAAATATGTCATTTCGTTATGAAAACTGTTATTGTGTTCAAATTAACCAAACAATTTGTGCTGGTTATTGTTTTCATTGTCTATATCTCCTACTGTAGTTGGGTTCACCAAAAAACACAAATATACGTCATTTAATAAGTCTTTTTTAAATACATAATTTTTATTATTGTTAAAAGTTCAAAATATTAACATTATTAACATTTGTTTAATGCCTTAAATAATACATAAAACAAATTATTTAATATCTATTTCATTTGATAATCGACTTACTCAATACACTGCGAAAATTTTTGAGAAAACAATTGATTTTTTTGTTTTTAATAACATTATTTTCATGACAACCACTTTTTCTATGACAACTTATAATTCTTCTATCTGTAGATATAACAAAAAATTAACAACAAACAATTTGACTTATATACATAAATAAAACTGTTAAAAATAATAAGTTATTTGGTTATGAATAAATAAAAATAGACCTTTTGGACTTATTATTTCTTGTAAGTTAAGAATAATTGAATTTATTAATGATTACACTGTATCCGAAAATTTTGTATACACCTACAACGTTGTTCACCCGTCTTTTTTATATTTTTATCTTATTTTTCGGGATTTTTCGTTTATATTGTTTAAAAGTGCGTTTTTATTCTTTGTTGCTATTTTTGTTTTTATCCCAATACCCCAAAAATTTAAAAAACAAAAAACAATAAATAAGTATAATTTAAGTTTTATCTTACAGTCTGTTTTTTAACGTTATCTGGTGCCTTTTGGACCATAAAAATGTAATTCGGGGAGCAGTCCCAAAAATCCATCCCAATTGTTTCGGGGGTTTTCACGTTTACCTAATCCCCGATGTTTAGACAAAAACGAAGGTATTTTTTGTCCACTAGATAACATTAAAAGACTGACTTTATATACAGTAGAAATTCTATCAGTGTGTGATTCCATCCGTGTGTGACTCTATCTGTGTGTGGTTTTGACCAATCAAAAGTGACCTACACACCGATGGAATATTATGATTTCCCACATATTTAGCACCAAAACCCGCAAAAATAATGTCAATTGCATATTTGTTTTTATTTTAAAAGAGTAAAGACTTGGTAATAAAAACTTAAAAAGAGAAAAATTATCAAACAAAAATAAATTCAAAAAAGATAACAAAAGAAAAGCAGAAAATGCTCTTCAAAAAATATTAAACTTTAAATGATAATAAAAAATGCACCGACTTCCACACACCAATCACAAGAGCACGCTTGTGATTGGTGTGATGACAGAATTGATACCACAAAACTTAACAATTTCAGCAAGAAAGTCACAGATATTTTCGACACATGCAGACACCAGCCAGG